TTATAACAAAAGTTTTTATCTATGTACAAGGCCACACCACCTCCCATCTTATTCTCTCTGTTTGTCCATACCAAGTCATAGCCATCAAGGTCAAAATCCATTCCCCTTACAGTGTTAATCCAAGTTTCAGAAATAGCAATTATATTAAAAGAATGTTTTAGACTACTAAGATAATGTTTTATACTCTGAAAGTTTGCGTATAAACTTCTGCTATTAAAGTGAATTAATGATAATTTGTACCTGCATGTTTCTTCATACATCTGAGGGTCCAGCGACCCCTTCATACTCTTTTTGTCTCAGCAATACTTTCAATAATGCTTCTTAAAATATGAGATGTCCATAAAGCTTTCCTGTTCTCAAAAAATTTACAGACAGAATCAAATACAAAAAAAAAGAAGTTCTATATAGAGCAGGGATTGGTTTGGACAAAGCTGAAGAAAATCTGAATCTGAAATCTGATTTTGTGGATATGATGTTTAGCCAAGGGACATAGCAATTTTACAGAATTTGTAATTTCATTGTTGTAAAATTGCAATTGGGATCAAGATCTTGTCACTCTGCCAGATTAAGGAAATTTGACTCCAAAAACTACTTGAGTAAGTACAGGAGTAAAATAAATGACATACAGACTCAGGTTCCTTTTTGCAAAAAGTACACAGAGGAGAAACATGTGGTGTAAAGTATGTATAAGTGTCTACATTCATTGCAGAGATAATAACTGTGTAAATCTTAATACGAATTTCTTTAATGCTAAATCAGCATCCATACAATAATAATAATAAAGACCAGGAAAACAAGGTATGGATGCTGACTCAGCATCCCTACAATAAATAACTGGATAACATAGTATGGATGCTAAATCAGCATCCATACTATGTTATCCTGTTCTTTATTATTGTATGGATGCTGATTCAGCATCCATACTATGTTATCCTGTTCTTTATTATTGTATGGATGCTGATTCAGCATCCATACTATGTTATCCTGTTCTTTATTATTGTATGGATGCTGATTCAGCATCCATACTATGTTATCAGCAGTAGGTGACTGGTATCCATAGCAACCACTAGATCAAAGCAAAATATGAAGGCAATATGGAGGATGGAAAATTACTTCATTAGCAATAAATAAATAAATAAATAAATGACAACATTAATGCATTAATAATTAGAGAAATAAAAGGAAAAAAATAATTGCTAAAATAAAATCATACAGTGCCTTGCGAAAGTATTCGGCCCCCTTGAACTTTGCGATCTTTTGCCACATTTCAGGCTTCAAACATAAAGATATAAAACTGTAATTTTTTGTGAAGAATCAACAACAAGTGGGACACAATCATGAAGTGGAACGAAATTTATTGGATATTTCAAACTTTTTTAACAAATAAAAAACTGAAAAATTGGGCGTGCAAAATTATTCAACCCCCTTAAGTTAATACGTTGTAGCGCCACCTTTTGCTGCGATTACAGCTGTAAATCGCTTGGGGTATGTCTCTATCAGTTTTGCACATCGAGAGACTGAAATTTTTGCCCATGCCTCCTTGCAAAACAGCTCGAGCTCAGTGAGGTTGGATGGAGAGCATTTGTGAACAGCAGTTTTCAGTTCTTTCCACAGATTCTCGATTGGATTCAGGTCTGGACTTTGACTTGACCATTCTAACACCTGGATATGTTTATTTGTGAACCATTCCATTGTAGATTTTGCTTTATGTTTTGGATCATTGTCTTGTTGGAAGACAAATCTCCGTCCCAGGCTCAGGTCTTTTGCAGACTCCATCAGGTTTCCATCCAGAATGGTCCTGTATTTGGCTCCATCCATCTTCCCATCAATTTTAACCATCTTCCCTGTCCCTGCTAAAGAAAAGCAGGCCCAAACCATGATGCTGCCACCACCATGTTTGACAGTGGGGATGGTGTGTTCAGGGTGATGAGCTGTGTTGCTTTTACGCCAAACATAACATTTTGCATTGTTGCCAAAAAGTTCGATTTTGGTTTCATCTGACCAGAGCACCTTCTTCCACATGTTTGGTGTGTCTCCCAGGTGGCTTGTGGCAAACTTTAAACAACACTTTTTATGGATATCTTTAAGAAATGGCTTTCTTCTTGCCACTCTTCCATAAAGGCCAGATTTGTGCAGTATACGACTGATTGTTGTCCTATGGACAGAGTCTCCCACCTCAGCTGTAGATCTCTGCAGTTCATCCAGAGTGATCATGGGCCGCTTGGCTGCATCTCTGATCAGTCTTCTCCTTGTATGAGCTGAAAGTTTAGAGGGACGGCCAGGTCTTGGTAGATTTGCAGTGGTCTGATACTCCTTCCATTTCAATATTATCGCTTGCACAGTGCTCCTTGGGATGTTTAAAGCTTGGGAAATCTTTTTGTATCCAAATCCGGCTTTAAACTTCTCCACAACAGTATCTCGGACCTGCCTGGTGTGTTCCTTGTTCTTCATGATGCTCTCTGCGCTTTAAACAGACCTCTGAGACTATCACAGTGCAGGTGCATTTATACGGAGACTTGATTACACACAGGTGGATTCTATTTATCATCATTAGTCATTTAGGTCAACATTGGATCATTCAGAGATCCTCACTGATTCGTTCCACTTCATGATTGTGTCCCACTTGTTGTTGATTCTTCACAAAAAATTACAGTTTTATATCTTTATGTTTGAAGCCTGAAATGTGGCAAAAGGTCGCAAAGTTCAAGGGGGCCGAATACTTTCGCAAGGCACTGTAAATAAATTATTTAAATGTATTTTAAATTGTTATGTCTATATTTCTACAGTTCTAGTTTTCGTTTATTTATTTTTGCATTTCTATATTCTTACATGTATTTCCCTCTGTATTTCTGTGTGTGTGCTAACGAGCTGGCCGGTTCTGATCCACTCTAAAGCAGGATTGGCTGCAGGAGTTTGATCAGTTGAGCTCTGCTACATTCTCCTTGCTGAAGGTGCTGCCTGGTGCACAGGTCTGGTGCTGTTTGCTTGTTACAACCCAAAGCTGAATTTGTTGGCATTTCTGTTTGTTTTGTTCCACCTGTCTGTATTCCAGTATGGGATAAAGTAAACTTACTACACACAGGCCTTATTGTGAACATTTCTTTTCTTAGTTTTTTGTTTTTTATATTCATTCTTGTTTAAAGTTTTTTTTTAAATGGCAAGGGTAGCTATATCTTGTTTGTAAGGCCGTTAGCTTTCATTCAGACATTACCTCAGAAAGCCATGGCTAAAAGCGCTAAGTAATATTATAGCGTGGTGAATTTTCAACTTGCTTTCAAGCATCTAATGTTGATCAATGCTTTCGCTGACTGAACTGGTGCCTAACTTCCCTCTCTAAGTGACAAACTGAGCTTATGTCCTCAGTGCAAGTACTGAATTTGTGGTTCATACAGTGATAGGTGGTTACCATGCATTAATCTCTGCTGTTTGTGAAAGAATCTGGAACCCAACCACTTTATGAAATATAAAATGACCTGAAACTGATGTAAAACTGTTTAAATGCAACTGCGTTGTGCTGACATGATGCTGTCACCTTCATAAACCCAAACAGTGTGAATGATATTAGGCTATTTTAAATCAGAGCCCTGTCCTTAAAAAGCAGGGTGAAACCTCAGATGTGATGATTTCCAGTGACAGTTATGTGATTTCTCCAGTAAACAGTAGCAGGCTTTAGATTCAAACCACACATGCAGCAAACAGAAGTGGGGTTTACAAAGCTCCAGACA